TGCAAACTCGTTAAAAATAAAGGAAAAACATTTGAAAACACACTTCTACACACAAAATCAAGGGGGAAAAAAGACATAAGAAATAGAAATAACACATATTTTGACATGAAGTTTCACTGTCATTGTAACCATAAAAACTGCGGTTTTATGTTTGGAAACTTTTTTTATTTGTTTGTTGGGTGGTGAGGTGGTATGTGCAGGCTGGAGGGTTTTGATGTTATTAACTCCATATTCTGTCCAACTGAGCTCATCTTTATTTTGATTGATTTTGTTTTTTCTAAAAGCATCAGCAACTCTTGAAATAAATACTTAAATTTGAGAAATACTGCAGCACACAGAAGAAGACTGAGCTTCATTTCTCATTTATGCTTGTCTTCTGATGAAATTATCCAGTATTCATAAGCTTTTCTCTCACACCTTACCCCATCAGTGGCATGGAAATGCTGCCCTGTAAGTTTTTATGTAACACTGCTTACACTTCTGCTTCTTTTGTGTCCTGCTCTGATGGAGCATTCAGGAACCTCTGTAGCATTAAGCACAAGTAGGAAATAGATTTCAGAAAATACACAGTAGTTCAGAGCTTTGATACAAACTCCATTTTTCCTTTCCAGCCTTGGTTCTTTAGGCAAATCAGACATGACTTTGGTTAAGGCTTTTCTCAAAGCAGTTGCCACATGTGTGTCATACTGATGACCTGTAAGAATGATGAAAAATTGCATGGGAAATTTGTGGCTAAAGGAAACTAAGGAAAGTTCACATGTATTTCATGCCTCATTACAACAATCCCTACTTGTCTTCTACCATGTGTCCCTCTGGATCTGTGCCCACCTCCCTCTTCCTATTTGCATAATTTCATTCTTAATGCTTTGCCACCATAGTTTCAAATTCATTAGTTGTCTTCCCTTCCCTGTCTGATTTGGCAGCCAATTCCATGTACTGATTTTATATATTCTTCTGGAGGATAAACGCCTCTTAATGCCTGCTCTACAGCAATGCTGTACTGGATGAAACCTATAGAAAACCTCTTAGCAACTTTATCTAATCAAAGCAAATAACAATTAAATGGATCTCCAAGTACATCCTTGCTGTTTACATGTATGTTTATGTACATGCTTGCACACACAACCTGTATTTAAACTCTCTTGAATAAAATCCATTTCATGATCTTTACTGTGGGGAGACGTTTCCAAGTATCTGACTCTTCAGACTCCTATGTTGTATCAGTGTCTCATGTCAGGCTGAGATTTTTTTCCTGCCCTTTCCACTAAAATCATTGAAATATATTCAGTCAGTCTTTCACATCAGAGGTGTAAATGGATTTCTTGAAAGTTTTTCTGCAGATAGCAAACAGCAGTCACTTTACAACTTTGACTCCATTGTGGACAGCAGTTGGGAAGCCTAACACTCCACCCGAACTTTGAAGATGCTAAAACTGTGTAATGACCTTGCATTCTCAAGGGCAGATGCTCAGCTTTTGCTGAAGTGCTAATCTACAATCTGTTTATCTCCATACACTATGTATTTGACAGCACTTGCCTGGAAAGCAAGGCAGGGAAAAGCGTTGTCAAATTTAGTTCCATTTTCCTCTCTGATGGTCTCACTGTCCAATGGATTTAGAAATGGTCATCTTTATTTTGATTTTTAGCTTCCTTTGTGCTTCTCAGCCAGCTGCAATCTTAGAAAGCAGCTACAGTGTCAGTGTCAGAATATTCTCATTTTGTGAGGCCTCTGCTGCAGCATGAACCGGGCTCTGGAGTAACTGTTTGCTTCCACATTTTCTTTATTCTTAGTGAATCAGACTTTGGGCTTTACCTTCAAAATGTAAATTGTCTCCTGTATTTTCTGCCAGTAGGCTTTAGATTCAAAGTGCTCTATTTATTATTCTTTAGTGGATATGAATTGGGATGCATCACATAATGCTCAGGAGCACATTGAGGAGCATGTTCCTAATGAAGGGGTAATGTGTCAAGGCAGGGTGCTGTGTGCAGGGAAAGGTAATCCCCTTTGTTAGACACACACCATGGTAGGGTAAGCCCTTCTTCATATCTGGGGCAGAAACCTGAAGAAAAGGGCTTCAGCTCATAAAAGCACATCAGTGTATCCAGATTAACCTGTAGGTGGGCTTTACATCCCCAAAGTCTGTTCTTCAGCAGCTCCATCAGTTGGGTGGGTAACAGAGGTTCCCTCCCTGAATAAATCCTGCTTTGCTTGTCCCTGTAAACCATCAGCCACCCCAGCACTACTGACTGAAGAAAAAACCCCTTTGGTTTTAATGTAAAGCCTGTGGTTTTTCAAACTGGCACTCCTTATCAAAATAAAACATTAACATCAAATTACTCTGATTCAGCAACAGCATCTATTTTTTAATATGAACTTGTCTGTTCTGTCAGGTAATTGTTTAGCTTCCCAGGGAATCGTGTGTGTGTTGCAAATGGAAAAGTTCAACCTTGTAAATCCTTTCTGTGGTGAGGCAACAGGAAACCCACTTCTGATTATTAAGATCACCAGGTTAAATAGCAAAATTTAATAACAAATTGCTAAAATTGACCTTTTGAATGCTAGATTTGCAGCATGCTCATTCAGGAATCTCTTTATGATGTGTAGGAGGATTCTCTTGCTCCCCACTTACAGAATTACAAGAAGTGTTACTGTCACAGAAGTGCAGTTTCCTTTTGTGGCACATGCTTTGAATTAGCTGTGGCTGTTGCCCACTGTGTTAATATCAGCAAGCTTCTCAAGTAATTCAATAGCAAGTCACAGCTCCCATCCCAAGGAGAAAGGACACAATCTTGATTTATCAACAAGATAGAGAGAAAGGTTAGTTTGGTTTGGTGTGGTTTTTAACCTTTGCCTTTTTTTTTTTTTTTTTTTTGTGACTTCTAAAACCATGCTGATGCAGGGTGTGCGTAAGAAATAGCTAATGGTGCTGAATCAATGAGTTTGTTCAGGTTCAGAGGAGAGCTGGCTGTGCTCTCAAGCTGGCACTGTGCTCTCCTCCCTGCACTCAGTGCTCAGTAGGAGTACAGGATGCTTTCAGATCACTTCCTGCTCCTCACTTGTGCAAAAGCCTGGAGGTGGAACCCTGCTGCAGTGGTGTTCTGCCATCCCAAAATCAGGGCAGGCTGAGGGAACACTCAGGCACTTGGTAATGTCTGGTAGCGTTTGAGGTGTGCAGTGTGGCTGTCAATGGGGAAAGGAGAAGAAGGGCAAGGTCTGGCTCATGTGGTGTGTGTATATATATATATATATATGTATATATCTATATACATATATAGATATGTATATGTATGTGAGTATAGCAGCCACCCTTAAAAGCTGGGCTTTGGTCACTGATGTTGTCCCGGCATTACACAGATCTTGCAGTCACTTCTTCCTCACAGATTCTGCTGTATGCAAGTGTCACTTCAGCCCTTGATGCCTCCTCCCTTCCCCAACTTTTGTTTCTTCCTCTCCAGCTGCTGTACTTGAACACCTATATTTCTTCATATCTGTTATCTGCATTTTGGTCTAAACCTCCTGTAAATTGTGAGTGACTCCCTGAAGCAATTCTTACTGCTTCTACTTCTCTTTTCAGTCTTTTATGATCTATCTCAATTGTGATATTTGCAAAAAGATAAATTATTATGGATATCTGGGCTGTGGGGCAGTCAGATATGGCATATATTATTTATTTTGAAATATGTTTTTAAATTCTGCAGAGGCTTCAAGTTGCACAGCTTAACTGTTGCCTCCTTGATCCTTCCTGTCTGCTATAATTTGTGGCATTTATTTGTTGCATTTTGTTTTAGGAACACAATAGGAACTCTCTGTGGCTGATAGTCTCTCTGAATCTGTGATTTTTTGTGGACCCAGAAAGCAAATACAAAACTAATTGTTTCAGGCTTTTCTTTATATTTTCTTCCAAGAGATTGAAGTAAAGCCATGTTACTCAAGGTTAAGTGAAAAATAGGGGACAGCTGGGTTTTTTGTTCAGTTGTTTTTCACTTGTAGCTAAATAAAACATAGAATGAGCACCCTCTCAGATAAATGTTTTGGATCTTTGTCCAATTTATTTTTAAAAATAAAGTTTGTGAATAGCTGAAAAGCCAGCTGTTCTTGTGACCTAGCTGGATGAAGAATAGTCCTGGCCTAGAGAAGTTCTGAGCCAGCTCTATGAATTAGCATGCATTAAATGATGGAATCATTTTATTGAGCAATAATAAAATATTGAAGTCAGATGGAAGGATGATGGGGAATTGCTGTTTGCAGCTATGAAAGTGATGCATGTCATGTTAACTCCCAACCCAAACAACTCATTCTAAGATTTGCTTTCATGAAACTTAAAATCCTCTATTTTGTCCAATCATCAGCTTTAAACCTGTTCCTTGTCAGTGAAGACAACAAATCTTTTTGCTTGCATCTGCCTGGGGGATGTGGAAAGCTGAGGTGGTCCTGTGTGATTAAATTAGATGAAAGACTTGCCTTCTACCAGTGAGACATGAAGTCTAATCAAGTGAAATGAGTTTTGAGATCTCAGCTCATTTCCTTGGGGAATATCTGCTTACATTACACAGTCACGACACCTAATTCATCACAGTTGAGGCAGCTTCTGCTCAGAAGAGGACCTGGGACTGGGTGCCAGGGGACTTGATCAAGTCTTTCCCTAAAGAGGAGCTGCTTAGTGAAGTTAAGATACAGCACACTGAGGGGAGAGCTTTAATATGTTTTTTTAAAAATAAATTATCTATATTCTGTATATCAGAATATATATCTGTATATTTTAGAACAGAGGGACTTAGATGCAAAAAGGTAAAAAAAGGTACTTGGTACTGAGTGTAGTAGTTTATAAAATGATTGCTGCATGAATGTTAAAAAATATGCTGAGTGAAGAGCAAAGTTGAGCTTGTTACTTAATTTCTATGCTGTTAAATGATGTTTGTGTATTTCCATGTACTAAGCTAAGAAAGTAAAGGTTTTTCTGCCTCCTTGACTAACAGATTGTTTTTGTTTGTTTCTTCCAGGGCATTGTTATAACTCCACTTCTGCTTTTGCTTTTTGTAAGTATCATGATGTATTAATATATCTTTTACTGGGTAATCTTGCACCTATTAGACATTATGTTTAAGATCTAAGTTTAGATGGTTTTCACAATGCATCAATAATGAAGCAGATTTTTCTGGTCAATATTTGAAATGAGCTGCCTCCCAGGACGGCCATCAAAATGTACCATAGTGGATGCAAACACCACCTACACTTCATTCTGAGATGACCAAAAGCTGTTGCTCTTACAGAAGTGTAAAATCATATCCTGTTAGTCAGGCTGGGTAAAATTCAAACACTTGCCAGGTAAGGAGATAACTCATTTAGGAGAGCTCTTGGAGAGCTTTCACTTGTAGGAGCTGGACAGCACTGTCCTGATCTGAAGTGGATGAGAAGAACTGGAAAAGCACTACTCAGATAAACAGAGCCGTTCTTTTGGGCAACCAAGCCCATGGATATCTTTGGGCTAGAGACAAGACAGATTACTGGAGCCCCTGTGCATCCCTAAATGGAATGCTGCTTCCTTCCTGTTAGTCCAATTGTCACCCCTCAGTGAGGCCTTGGGTCCTGGCAGCTCACGGTAGAGAGAAAGGGAGGAGACCAAGCTCTACCTTCATGTTTTATAAAGGCAAGGGTATTAGCATACAATGGAGAGGCTTTTGCAGGTGGGTGGTGGTGTTTGGTAAATCCCTGGTCACATAGGAAATCTTGGTGCTTGAGGGTTTGCTGGCACAGCTGGTGTGGTGTGGTGCAAGCTGCTGAGAGCTGGGGCTTTGTGAAGGGCAGGGAATATAGGCTGAAGCTCTTCAAGAATTTCAAGGAAGACATAAATTTTCTTTTATATTTGTCTTACTGATGGCTTTGTACGTCAGTCAGCACACTGGAAAAGGAGGGAAGTTGGTCTGAAGCAATTTGTAAGTGGCATGCAAGGGGTGCACTGTTTATAGCAAGGATGCTTAAGCAACATATGGGCTATATACAAATATAGCTGTATAAACTGGGATAAAGAGTACTGTGAGAGTGGCTGTAACATCAGCTGCTGCCTCACAATAACTGTGTGGGAAGAGTTTTATTTTACTAGAACAAATTATAACTCACTGATGTAGCTGTGTTTACACACAAACTGCTTTGACCATATTGTATATATTGATACACACCAGCAAAGCTTTCTCAGTACACCTGGGAGCGTAGACTTACTGTAGGTTGAAAAAGATAACTTTCCTTTAAAAAAAAGACAGATGCTTTGTTATTCTTGCATTGAATGTGTTGATTCAGGATGTTCTCCCTCACTGTTTCCAGTCCTCTTCTCTCTTGTATGTAGAAAGTGTTTCTTCCACAGGCATTCATTCAGAGACCTGTGCCCTTATTTCTAAGTGAAACTTCAGCTCTTTTTACTTTTGCTTACTGTCAGCTTTCCCTGTGCTTTACCTCACTGAGTTTGGGGCACTGAATAGTCAAAGTGGGTATTTTCTGCAGAAACTGAGATGTTAAGGAAAGATCTGTATATATTTTCTTTTCTTTGGTGTCATTATAGGCAGATAACAAGATATTCTGCCCTGTAAATTGCAGTTTTCACTATTACTTCTCAGAGGAGGTGGTAAAACTTCATATGTACAGGAACAGGAAGGCAAATCGTATCTCTGTTCTTTCTACCAGCCCTGGAAACATTTGTATGAGAAGTGTGTAAAATTCACATTAATTATTGGGTGGTTTGTGACATGACTTGGATTTGTTCTTGAGGCGGATACGCACATGAATTGCTTTGTCATCAGAGTGATAAACCAACTAGTCTGGGGATGAGGGGAGCTACAAGAACTGTGGGGTTTTGTCACAGAGCCCAAAACTTGAGGGCTTCTCTTGTGCTATATAAATATTTAAAACTTGTTGAGGTCTTTGTTGAGGGTTTCACAGATGAAGAGCAGTATTCTGGTCAGCCCTGCAGCACACCTTGCTAAGATGAGGTCTGCCTTCTCTGAAGGTTCAGTTTATCCAGTTATAGGTTTTTAGGGCAGCTGAATGTTTGTAACCCAAGTTTCCATGTCCTGTGGCAGTCTGTGGTTTGGACGGCTGAAACCCATTTTTTGATGTGGACCTCTCTAGTTTTCCTCTGAGTTTCCTTGATGCATCTGGCCTAGTGAATACATAGTGGATTCCAGCACACAGTTCACATGTTTCTGTGTGCTTGCTTACAGCCTGCAGCTCCATCATTTCATGTGGGACTGTGCAGTGAGAAACACGGACGAGAAAAGTCCTGGCTTTCTTCTCTGAACCATTCAGCAGTTTAGTCATGCAACTTAGCCTTAATGCTTAATTAATACAGGATGGAATTTTCAACTTTCAAAATAAATCTTCCATTTACCTCTACAATAACTGAGCTGAGCTACTGAATGCTATTCATGGGCCTTTCAAGTCAACATCATCAATGAATTTTAGTTCCTGATTCTGGTACTCTCAAGCATTAACTCTTCCACTAAGTTGTGCTATGATTGTCTGAATGTTCATATTTGTTATTCTCCCTGTCTACAGTGCATAAAATACCTTCAGTGCTGCCAGAAATAAAATACATTGTTGTCTATTAGCTTGTTTTTGATATATAGCTTAACCTGAGGTAGTAGTTATTGTTTATATTTTGCCCTGTGTGCACCAGAGAATATAATGTTCTGAGCTGTCTTTTTGTTCATAATTGCCCAGTAATGGAAATATAAATTGTCTAAACAACATTGATAAAGGCACGTTGAAACTGTAATAAATAATGCATTTAATGCAAATAATTTATCATCTTAAGTGAATGGTGTTGAAGAGGAAGTCAGTTGCATTTCTGAAAAGTATATTTCTGCTATGAAACTTCTGGTGTAAAGCTTACTCAAAATTAACATTCTAAGAGGTTCAGATTAATTTAATGAAGGCCTAATTACTGGACGGTATGAGGATGCTTAGCTAAACTTTATAAACTTTATAAGGAATATCTTTGTCACAGATACTTCTGATTAACATTTTACCTGATAAGAAGCTATTGAATCTTTCTTCCCAGATATGTTAATCAGCAATATCATCATCCTCATGTTAACCCTTGTTATTAACAGTTAATATGCCATATTCCCAGCAAAGATGTTACAAATGGCCAATGTCCCATGAACTGTATGTAACTGGAGCTCATATATGGGGTGAGCAGAAACAAAGCAATTTGAATCAGTTTCAGGTTAGCATGAGGTGATGCTGTTTGATATTTCTTTGCAGCATTCTGCAATGCTTCTTTAGCCATGATTAGGAGGCTGTGTACCAAAGCATTCAGAGAGTGAGGCTGTCCATCCCCCTCTTGTCACTTTGCACACTTGGAGAGTAACAGATCGATCATGACAATTTTTAAAGCAGAAAAAGAAGTTTTGATTTCTCCAAGGTTAGTTATCAAAGTAGCAGAAATCTTAAGTGTGTGAATCTATGTACTTCTATTGAAAGCCATCAAAAATGTTAGAGATAAGTCAGAAGATAAGTCACATTGTTCAGAAGCATGCCTGCAATACAGTTAATGTGGGATGTTAAAGACCCAATACAAAATTCATGTGTATTTGTAAGGATACACTTGGCAAACCCTCTGTGTGGCTGTCAGATATTGCTCCCCCATTAGCTCCTTTGCCAATAAAACTGCCAGGACATTTGTGTCAAAACAGGATCTTTCCAAGGCTTTATCAGCTTGCTCCTGTTCTTGATTCCTGAATTTTTATTTTTCTGTTGGTGTTCTAGTGGTGATGTCATAAGCACTAGAAAGTAGCACTACTGAAATAATTCAGGAGTGGACAAGTGAAGGAAATTTGGTGCAAGTAGTGCTGAGAAAAGTGAAATAAATAAAGTGAAATTAGAAGCTGATTTAAATGCTGAAGAGCTTTTAAATGTATTCACAATCTTTAAATTAAAATATGGGTCTAAAAGTTGTTGATACTTCTCAGAGTTTTTACCAAGTCTACTCCAATCCCATTAATTCAGATAAATCTGTTTATTGAAAGGAGCTGTCAGTACTTTTTTGTTTTTAAACAGAACTTCTACACACTATGCCTTGTTTTTCTTCTCAAGCACTTGGTAAATGAGAGTTGATACCAGTCAAATGAATCGTTAAATATGCAAATATCTTAGTAGCTGGAAAGCCTTGGAAGTTGATAAGGAAGTTGCAGCTAATGGATTTCACTGGTATGTGACAAAAGGCTGATTACAGTGGGATGGGAAGGGAGGGGAGCAGCACAGTGCATTAGCTATTAACAGATCAGCTCATTCATGTGGAAGATTTAAAGTGCATCATTATTTCTACCTGGGTATTTACCTCACTCTTTCCTTTCTTCTTTAATCATTGGGAAAACAAAATTCTCTGATCTGATCCAAACTCTTTACAATTAACTAGAACTTTTCAATGACTGCTGTGAAATATTTACTTAATCATTTTATTGCTTTTTTCTCATGCGCCTTTTATGGGTTTGCTATTTAAATTGGAACAAGTAACAGAGACTAATGGGGACCCTCCTTGTTCCTGACTCACACACCAAATACTGTAGGTGCTTTTCTACATGTTATTGCTCTTGAGATTTTCACCTGTGTAAAACTAGGGGAGCCTTTCTAGTGCACAGCCTGCTCCAACATGGGCAGAAGTTAACCACACATCTTTAACAGGGTCATAGAACCAGGCTACCAGGAGAATCCCATCCTGACTCACCCAATCCACCTCTTTTCCTGCAATTCACCTCAGAAATTAGCGTGATCCAACCTAAAAAATAAGGATTTTTGCTCTTTCTCCACCCTTGCAGCGCTAGAAACTTGTGTCTCTGATGAATGTAAACTAATTTCCAGTAAGTACTGGTTAAAGATATGTAATTCATTTGTCTTTGTTGCTAGTGTTATACATCTGAATAGCACTTCTCTGAAATTTATCACCCTGGCTCTGACTTTCTCTTTGCCAGCCTTCAGTCAGCTAGGCTAAACAAGCCATGCATTTGTAATCTTTGAATTCATAAAACAAATCCCTTAATCTGAG